GAGGAGTCTTACCATCTTTGTGGAAATAACTTCAAAATGAGAGGAGGTAGAATCCAAGAGGATTTGGAGGTTGTGGAAAGGAAACCCAACGTCATGAGAAACCAAAAAGGAACAACCAGAAGAATACAACAACATACTCCAAGATAGAAAGGGACAACAATTATACGAAAGGAAGTCAAGGATGACTATTTAAAGGGAAAGGGGAAGATGCAACTAGGAAATGTTTGTATGATTAATTTTCAATTCCTAAGACATGAAGATACCCTACTCTGACCTCATCTTAAAAATAGAATTGTTACGTGTACCTTAGCTATTATTAAATTACCAAAAAAGGAGATGAGCCAACAGAATGCTTTTATTATTTTAAGGGGGATAGATTAATGATTCAACAAATAAACAAACACAATGGAAAGTGTAGATCGCCACATCGGGAAATTGGCAGTACAAGCCCTCACACTGGAGCAACGGTGTCATTACCTATATACTGAACAGTTCAAGAAACGCGGGAGATTATCTTATCTCATAACGTCATTAATTGGGATGGAATTTGATTCAAAACGCTATTATTAGAACGAGACCAATGATGGCTTGGGCAAAGGAAGAAGAACTTAAGAGGAGAAGATGATCCGGCTAATTGCCCACAACATTTGAGAAATGAAGAATGTTTGAAATTTCGAGGACGAAATTTATTTTAAGGGGGATAGGTTGTGAGACCCCTAACTTTTGTAAACCTTATTAGGTCCCAAAATTTTGAGTTACTATAACAAAGCCTTTAATTCGTTGATTGCTCGCAAATTAAACCCTAGAGTCAAAAACATATCACGGACGAACCCACACAAACCCAAATCGACCCTGGAAGCTTAGAATCATAACACTCTAATATTAATTATTTAACTCTCAAATTTTAGATTAATTGCTCTAAACCCTAACTTTCGGTTTTTACAGTCTTCATTCAGTTATTTACCTTTAAATTCAAAACAAGATTAATAACAAACCGGAATTATTTTTCTAAACACTAATGTATAGCCCAAGCCCTCACATTTTATTTAAATCACAAATTGACCTCAAACAAGTATACATTATATATTATATATACAACTTTGTACCCTGAAATTCTTTTTTTAACACTTATGTCTTTACAATTTTCCAGAATTTGTACACAAAATAAAATAGGAAAAATCTCCCCAAATCTCGAGGACTGGACTTAGCCTGTTCATCATTATACTTTTAGTACAAACAAAATCCCTTGAAATCTTGGAGCAATAATTGATTTTGGCTACCAATAAGATTGCTATGAGTATTTTAAATTAGCCCTAAACCTAACTAGATCATAATAAATACATAAATAAGGTTCAATACTGTGATTTTAATTCAAGTCCTCATTTCTTTTATTAAGAATTACCCCAAAAAATAGTAACATGTACCCTAATACATTAGTACCATCATATTCAATTGAAATCTATATATATATATATATGCATACATTGAGAACTGTGCCCCTAATACCTAAAATGATTAAATAAAAACCCATCACCCCTTCCCAAGGGCCAACCACCATTAGGGAGACGTGAAGGAGACAACTTTCAAGATATATCATCATGAAATTCATAGAAAGAAACACCACCTAAGTACCCTACGGACTACCCGGATGCTAATTCCTAAACTAGTTCTACTTTAACTAAATTCTTGCCAAATCGTTGAGTAAGCTCCCAAACATCCCTTTTCTTTAAACCACTCAAACAAAATCCTAAACTTTCCATCCATTCTTCAACTAGGTGGGCTTTTAGGACATTTTACATCAAGAATTGTCTATAATATCAACCTCCCCTAGCTTGCAAAGTCACAAAACACACACCTCACATACACACATAGAGTAGAGAGGAGGAGTGAGAGCAAGAAAGAGATGGGTTTCCCAACTTTCTTTGAAAACTCTAGCACATCACATCCGGAGCATAATCTTCCAGATTGTATTTTCTCTCGGAATTTGACCGTCAGTTTAGAGGATGAAAAGTCGGCTAAATCGTTTAATTCGTGTACCCAGGCTTCTTGTAAGCTTTTGCCAGAATCTGGATAAACAAACCTTCGGATCCATATGCCGATAATGAGGGACCGGTACACCATGCAGTCTTACCAATTTCATTCGCATAATTGATGACGCCAGTTTATCTGGCATGTACTGAGTCTTACTGGACCGGGTATAATGTGGGCAGACTTAGTCAATCGGTCGACAATGACCCATTAGAATTCATACCCGAGTGTCCGCTGTAATCCCACAACGAAATTCCATGGTTAAATGTTCCATTCCATTCCGGGACTGGAAGGGGTTGTATAATCCTGCTGGTCTTTGGTGCTCCGCTTTTACTTGCTGACACATGCAAAAACACTTAGAGACGATAAGTTCTGCAATCTCCTTTTTCATGCTTGGCCACCAGGAAATTTTGTTTCAATCCCGGTACATTTTCGACTTCCCGATGCATGGAAAATCTTAAGGCGTGCTGCTTCGTTCCATCAATTTCCGTTTAAGTTCCAAAACATTGGGGACACATACTCGGTTTGAAATTTTGAGTACCGAATCCACTAAACTGAACCCCGATTGTGGTTTGGTCTCCAACTCATCACATCCTTCTTTAGAACGTCATCCTCCATTTGATGTGACTTGATCTCTTCAAGTAAAGTCGGTTGAGCCATTACTGCTGCCAGTACCGTTTCCTGTCCAGGATCTTAAATTCCACCCTCATTTTATCCAATTCATCTTACCCAATTCCCTTTGCTCCGTAAACAGGTTGGCCAAATCTCCCATATTTTTCGACTAAGAGCATCCGCAACTGTGTTGGCCTTACCGGGATGATAATGGATCTGTAAATCATAGTCTTTAATTAACTCTAACCACCGACGCTGCCGCATGTTCAATCCTTCTGGGTAAAAGATACTTAAGGCTTTTGTGGTCGGTTTAAACTTCACAGGTAGTACCATACAAATAGTGCCGCCATATCTTTAAAGCAAAAAACCACCGCCACGAGCTCAAGATCATTGCGTGGGATAACTCTTTTCAGGGGTTTAAGCTGTGTGAAGCATAGGCAATGACCCTTCCACCTTGCATAAGCACACACCCTAATCCTTTATGGGAGCATCACTGTAAATTACAAACCCTTCGGTGCCAGACGGTAAAGCCAAAATGGAGCTGTGGTTAATTTCATCTTTAATTCCTGGAAAGCAGATTCCCGCTCTTTTGACCATTCAAATGCAACTCCCTTTCGAGTCAATTGTGTGTAAGTGGCCCAGCAATTTTAGAAAAATCTTGAACGAATCTCCTGTAATAACCAGCTACATAAGCACGTTTCAGGTAAGTCGGCCATTTCACATCGCCTCAATCTTGTGTGGATCAAAGAAACTCCTTCCTTTGTGATAATATGTCCCAAAAATGCCACCTCGAGTAGCCAAAATTCACATTTCTTTAGCTTTGCATACAATTTCCTTTCCCGGAGGGTTTGAAGAATTAAGCAAGGTGGGTCTCATGAGCCTCCACATTCTTTGAATAAATGAGGATATCATCAATAAAGACCACCACAAATTCATCCAGATAGGACTTAAAAACGCGGTTTCATCAAATCCATAAAGGCTGCTGGGGCATTAGTAACTCCAAAGGGCATGACCAAAAATTCGTAATGACCGTACCGAGTCCGAAAAGCTGTCTTCTCTACATCATCAGCCTTGACTTTTAATTGATGGTACCCAGACCGTAAATCATTCTTAGAAAAGACCTGTGCCCCTTGAAGCTGATCAAATAGGTCATCGATTCTTGGCAATGGATACTTATTCTTGATTGTGACTTTGTTAAGTTCTCTGTAATCGATACAAAGCCGGAGTGTTCCATCCTTCTTCTTTACAAACAAAACTGGTGCACCCCACGGAGATACACTCGGACGGATAAATCCTTTGTCCAGTAAATCTTGCAACTGCATTTTCAATTCTTTCATCTCAACTGGCGACATTCTATACGGAGTCTTAGAAATGGGTTGAGTTCCCGGTGCTACTTCAATTGTAAACTCAATTTCACGGTCTATTAACTGTCCTGGTAATTCTTCTGGAAAGACGTCCGGAAATTCACAGACAACTGGGATCATGTCAGTATTTCCATTCTCCGCTTGTCTCTCTAGAACACTGCATAAATACCCCTGACACCCTTTCTGAATTAATTTACAAGCCCTTGCTGCGGAAATTAAATAAGGTGGTGAAGTCACTCCATGTCCCTGAAAGGTAGACCCTGATTGCCCCGGAGGGTGGAAACTGATTTGTTTAGTCAAACAATCTATAGTTGCACCATATTCACCCAACCAGTCCATTCCCAGAATAATATCAAAATAGGCCATATCAAGAGGCAACGGATTGACATATACCCGGATATCCCCAAGTTGGAGTTCACAAGCAACATAGATAGAAGTGCAAATCATAGGGCCTCCTAGAGGTGAAGACACACACAACATATAAGACAGCTTTTCTTCAGTTTTATCTAAATTAGGAGCAAATAGTTTCGACACAAAAGAGTGGGTGAAGCCAGAATCAAATAATACGTGAGTGAAATGACCGTGAACGATAAATGTACCTGACACCACCGTTGCCGCATTTTGCACATCTCCCGGAACCAATGCGAACACCCTGCCTTGTCTTGTAGTGTCTTTATTATTAGTGGGTTTAGCAGCTGTCTTGGTGTTGGAAGTTGGTATAGACCCCGCTGAACTTGTAGTGGTTCTGTTATTACTTTGTTGATTCCCTTGAGGGCAATCCTTGATCAAATGATCCGTCTTACCACACTGAAAACAGGCTCCAGACTTCCGATAGCACATTCCGCGATGCTTCTTCCCACATTCCGGGCAAGTTGGTATTGAATCCTGACTAAGGGTAGAAGTATTTGAACTCCCTAAAATCTGCTTCTTGTTTGGTGGAGTAGGTGATCCCTTCGACCATTGAGGATTTTGCCTCTTCCCTTTCCATTCCGAAATTCAGCTCTGAGTAGCGAGATTCCCTTCCGCTATAACGGCTCTTTCCAACACATCAACGTAAGTAGATAACTTCAACATGTTAACCTTATCCAGGATAGCGCTCCGTAATCCCCCTTCAAATTTACGCGCCTTCTTATAATCCGTATCCACCATATGGGGTGCAAACCGAGCTAATTCTGTAAATTGGGCTTCGTATTCAGCAACGGTTTTGTTCCCTTGCCTGAGAGTTTTGAATTCCGTTACCCTCTTATCCCGCATGCTTTGAGGGAAGTACTTGTCATAAAACAATTCCAAGAATCTATCCCACGTCAACCCTTGGTGTACAGTTCTCGTAAGCATCCACCATCTGCGTGCCTCATCCTCAAGAGTAAAGGCAGCCAATTGCACCTTCTGAGCTTCTGTGCAGGGAAAAACCTCAAATAACTTCTCTATTCCCAACACCCATGCTTCAGCTTTCATTGGTTCTATTCCTCCTTTAAAGGATGGCGGTTTCATCTTTTTAAACTCCTTAGTAAGGGTGATAGTCCGGTCTTCAGCATGGAAATCTTGTACTGCCGGTGGAGGTACCAGTGGTGGGGGTGGTTGTTGTGGCTGTTGCTGTTGTTGCCGTAGGGTCTCCGCCATTTCCATAATCATTCTCTCCATTCTATCCAGACGTGCAGAAGTAGCATCTTCTGTATCTTCTGTCCTTGTCCTCACCATTGCCTACACAATAATCATTTATACATAATAGACATATTTCAAAAGTGTTAGCATTATAAGAGTAAACTTAACGTTGCCATCGCTCTTTCATATACTTTCAGAATGTCATGCAAGATGCCTAAAGCTTTTCTAGACATCCTAAAGTTCAATGGATCCGTGTGTGAGATAGCAACTCGTGCTCTGATACCACTTGTCACACCCCGAACTTGCCCCTAAAAGTTCGGGCATGACCCATTCAAAACCAGACATATAACCTGGTATATATATAGCATATGGGGCCTTGACGGAAGCACAAAATATTAGAAGATTATAAAACCAAACAAACTCCATTGAGCTATTTCTAATATGCCAGGATCTTATACATTACATACACCACAACAGGTTGATAGAATCCAAAAATATTCCTAAGCAGTACTTATGCACAAGCACACATACAGACCCAGCCCTGTAGTCGGGCGTAAATTAAAAAAAACACTGTTGAAGTTATATACATTCAACCTTGGAAGGATAGCCAAGAAGTGAGCTAATTATCTTAATAAACTTCCCAAAACAAGTGGCTTCGTGAGTGCTTGGATACATGAAGGTTGACAAAAGAAACAGGGCGTCATGGGTTAGGATTGACCACCTGGTTGGTTGCCTACAGAAACAGACATAACAGAAAGTGAGCCGGGCTCAGTGAATAGTAATACATAAATGAAACAATGCTCAACTTGAAACATGACATATATCAATACATATGGAAAAGCAGAGATCACAAAGTTAGCCTGATTCTGTATTCATTTCATAATGGCCTTAGGCCCAATCTTGAACATAACAGCTTGACATATCACATTCTTAAATCATAGTGGCTTGAAGCCCTTGAACATGGTGGCATAATGCCCTTGAACATAGTGGCACAAGGCCCTTAAACATGGTGGCACAAAGCCCTTAAACATGGTGGCACAAAGGCCC